GCCAACTCCACTTCTCTGAACCTTGCTTTATGAAATATCTGAACAGCAACATCCAAAAACTTTAAGTGCTATAAACAAAAATCCCAAGCACAAGAATGAATTTCTGGAATTCACAGCTAATTAGCAGCAACGTGCTATTCATACTCTAAAATAAAGGGCTTTATTAAACAAAAAAAGTTACACTGTAATAAATATTTTCTCATGTTAAATTAAAGTTAATCTTATTTACAAATTTCCAGCAGCAAGCATTTAATAAAAGTACTAGAGAGAAACTGAAAATCTGTAAATACAACCAGAAAAATCAACGAAATACTCAGTAGTCAGGCAGTATCTGTACAGCGATAGTGAGAGCAAAACAGAATTAATGCATCAAGACCACAATCTAGCTAGATCTGACAAGGGGTCACTGATCTCTATTTCTCTCAGCACAGATGCCATTAGATGTGTTAAGGATTTCCAACATTTCCCATTTATATTACAGTAAATATTATAGTGTAGCTTTTGCAGCTGCCTTCTTCTTTCCCCTCTACCCTCAGGTGCCTTCCTCTTCCCCCTTCTCTCCATAATTGCTGCTGTTGAGATAGTGAGCCTATGTGCATAAGAAACTGTCTATAATTGGAGCATCCTCTTGGATAGATATTTCTCCCCTTGGGTGTTGTGGGCAAATTCACCCTCTGCTCCCTCATATTTTAATGCGGCATGGCACTTGCACACAACGCATAGGGCATGAGATGGCTACTTGAGAAGGGGTCTGGGGCTCCCTGATGCCCCCAGTGATTAGCATTGTTAGTACTATCCTCTCCCAGCCACTGCCCTCACCTTCAATGGCCAAAATCACCTTTACCTCTATGCCATTTTCCTGGTATGGGTTCTCATCTCTGATGCCTCAAGTTCTAGGAAAGCAAGCTTGAATAAAGCTAGACAAGTGCTTTAGCTGTTCACCACTGGATCTGATATGTGAAATCAGTTCACCTTTCTACGACAATCCTGGAATGTAAAAGGTAACCTTGGATTCTGTCTTCTATTGAAATTCCTCTTCTAAGCAGGACTGCAGAGATCATGGAGTATTTATTTCTAAGATTATCAGTGGCTACTTCTCTTCCTTCCCCCGAACCAACCAGGCCAAACTTCCTCTAAAGCTATCCCATGCACTTGCCTTGAATTTGTAACTCTCCCTGGATTCCTTCCATTTTTCTGTGTGCTCTCTGAACTCATCTTGTTCATGAGACCCACCTCCTACTTTTCACTGCCAACTGTTACAATAGGAAGGTTTAAAATATGGTGATGTTTTGGATACCATCAGTAACTGTAAGGTGAAATTAAGGGAGTCATGACATGCTCTAGAGCCTACCAGACAGTAAGCCTGGCTAGTTTGATGTTTGAAATCAAAGGACAGCTTAGATTGTTTATTGGGAAGGTGATGCAAGGTATTTACGGTTGAAATCAATGGCAGCAGTCCGAGAGTTTGCAAACTCTTTGCAGTCTCATTCATAACACGTTTCTGGATTTAAACTAGCTTCTGTTTAATCAATACATTTTAAAATACTCACTTAAAAATCTCTCTACAGGCTTGCCCTTCACACCTATGTAATCTCTTTTAGCCAACAGTGCTGATATATCCATATTTCTCTAATTCTGGCCTCTTCAATATTGAAGAAATTTTAAAATTGGTTGACCATTCTTTGTGCTTTTGGTTCACCATTGTTTGTGCTTTTGGTTCCAACTGTGTTCCAAGCTCTGCAATTCCCTAAGCCCCTGGAGGTTCTTTTATTTATCTTCCTCCTTTTAATCACTCTTATCAAATTTGTTTTTAAGCTGTGATCTAAGAGCTGTGAGCTGAAGATGACCTTTGGACTATGGGCAACAGCTTGTGTTTAAAAAAAAAATTATTTGTTCGGCCAGGCCTGGAAGTTAATTGCAGGTTGGCTCTTGATCAAAACATTCTACAGAATCTTTGATACCAGGACAAGCATCAGGCTTAAAAAGTTGACAGATGTTGGCCGTTAAATGAGGTCAGCGCCTGGGAACTGGTTCTTGCTGGTCTGGAAGAGATCTTATGCTCCAAAAGATAATGAACGTTGAATGGTAACTGGGACCTTGTGGGGAGAGTCAGTCTGACAAGGACAGGCCAGAGTTTTGAACTGGATTTTAGATTGCATTTTCTGTCAGGAGTTTGGCTGTCAAATGTGACATTCCTTTAGCAGCAACAACATACTTGCCCAGTGTGCACCAGTGACCAAGCTGAACTTCGTCCTTTTGGTACTCAGAGAGGAAGCTACTGGAACCAACCTTATGACTTTTTTAGAACAATAATTATTAAAATTTTCATAATGGCTGCTGTAGAGTTTCAAAGATAAAGTCAACAAGTTCAATTGCTTAATGGTTAGAAACTATAGATGTTTCATTGCTGAAATTCAAGAAACTTGAAAAAGTTATGTAAACAATTATTCACTTCAGTTGATTTTTTTTGTGAAGAATCTAATGGAGGCAACCCCTACTTGGAAAGAAACTCACATTACTTCCTAAAATTTAATGGAGAAACGTGGCCAACATGATTCTCAAAACATCATGACTCCAACTTTACATTTAATTCAAGATGATGTGTGCAAAACAATACTAATTAGCATGATCATTTTTGATATTCTCCAACCCAGTGGCACTAACATCATTGTACAACCCAAACAACTTCTGTGCTAAATTATTTAATAAAATTTGAGTCAGCACAATCTGAACAGTCCAGGTGGAAGAATGCTAAGTGGGGACTCCACTGCTATTCCACTTGCACTCCTATTAAGTCTGTAGTTGGGATGGGCTTGGACAGCCTTCCCACCTAAATAGCAATTGAAACATTCAAGTGGATATAATTAATGCCTACTTAAAGGACTCATCATCACTTATTAACTTACCAGCAGGCAGGGGACAAGCAGCACCCAGTATGCCTCTTTGAGGGGCATGGCATCAGGACAATTAGGAGGTTAGCATGGGTGATGAAAGCCAAACCCTGCATTTTCTGCTGACCTCTTGCACCTCCAATCTACATTCCGATGCAGATCTCACCAGTTACCGCTGCACTGAGACCCAGCAACGTTTCTACATCTCAAGTGAGTTATATAATGGCAGCAGCCACCACCTCCCTAGTGGCATTGCCATTCAATAGGCTAGGATGGTCCAGCAGCTCTTAGCAGGCAGGACCTCCACCCTCAGGCTCATTAAATTTGCCGGGATGGCCCATTACTAGCCTGTCAAATGCCCCAGTGGACCAAGACAAAGCAGGTTGTCCCTAAAAAACACAAAGCAGCAATGCAGGGCTCCTAATGGATCTTTATACTTGAGAAACCTCCATCCTGAACCATTCTCTTAAAACCAAAGCATCAGGAAAGCAGTAATGTATTTCTGGAAATAATTAAATGCACACCCAATTTAGTTTCAAACAATCCCCACATTGAATAACATACTTTAAAAGTTCCAGAATAAATACATGTAACAATTATCTGGAATCTCAGTTTGAGCTAAGTTCTCCCCATTGTTCAATACTGTTTCAGAACAGGACTTCAAGATTGGATGCACCCAGTATAATCCAAATTAGGGAAAAGGTATGGCAACAGAATACAGAAATATTAATAGTATAAAATAAGTATGGACTGCACAATGAATGCATACATTCTAAGGCATTATGTGCACATTTCCCTCCTATCTCTTGTTGCCCTGGCAAACTGATGATGAGGAAACCCTGCCTGACTTGTGCTTCTCCTTTGCTGATTCATCCTGTATGAACTTAGTGGGGAACAGGTTTAGATAACAATTGCACAATGTTGCCTGGTCAGATAAATCTGAAAATGAGAATGCAAGAGGTTTGCTATTGAAAATACAAAATAATATACAAATTAACATGAACATAAATTTAAAAACTAACGTGCCTGCCAAGGTTCCGTGGTAGACATAAATATGGACCAAAAAAAAAAAGACCTGTATTAATAGCACTTGAATTGAACAAATAAACTCAACAAGTTACTCAAAAGAAAGATTCCCCTTCACCAAGGGAAAAAAAAAACTTATTTGTTATATTGGACTCAAAACATGAGCTCTGTTTTTCTCTTCACAGGATGTTATCAGACCAGCTGAGGTTCACCAGCTCCATGTTTTTTTTCAAATTACTGTGGATGCTGAAGATCAGGGTTTTTTCCCCACTTTTATAGTTCTCATTGGGCCGATGGCAAACTGAGCTTTGATCAAAGAGCTATAACTGGGTCTTGATAGCATCGAGGAAAAATTACCCTTGAAAAACCAGTCTAGCAGCCCCCCAAAAATTGGTATGTTGCTGCGTTCTTAAACGGATTAATTTTGAAAGATTTAACTGTCTAAAAACAAAAAATCTAGTACATTTCATGTATTATATTTCAGCTTCTACCTTATTCCTTTTATTTCCCACAGTAAAATTTTCACAGTAGTGATTTAATTAGTGCTTTTCATTATGCCTCAAAGATCACTAGATCAACTAGCAGGCTTTCTTCAGGCTCAGCAATCGCCGTCACTTTGCCAACTGCTGCAAATCACCAGTTATAATGGCAAACATTTCGTGATCTTATAAATTCAAGTTATAATTAGTCTCATGATACACATCTCTTATTCTGTTCCCACAACCATAATTCACTGTTCAATAATAGGAAAAAAAAGTGATTAATAATTCCTGAAATGACCACACTTATTCTTGAAAAGATTTAGATGGTAAGAAGACTCAAGACTTTCAGAAAGCTTTGTGTCCCTGTTCTGTGAACAGAATACTGCATTTTGCACTGTGCAAACACCAATCACAGCACCATATTTAGAAAATTTGGGGCTCTCATTTACTTTTTTTTTTAAAGAAAGAAAATAAAGCACAACAAAATGCAATTTTTAGATCATTTTGTTGCCAGAAATTAAAGCAAAGGCACAGAATTTAACTGTACCCAGCATATGCTGACCTCACAAGATGGCACATATGTAATGGCACAAGTACTTACTGGTGATCATTCCTCCAGTTATGGATGCCAGGAATCCCACGACAATGGCTATCACTGATATTACTCTCCCTTGCTTGTGCCTTTGGAGCATCACAAACATTAGCAGTCCCACCGCACCATGCAGAAAGAGAGAGGAGAAGAGAGCCCAGAGGAAAACCCAGTACCACATTTCTGTGGGGGAAAAGAAAGCAATAATTAGGATGGATAAAACAAACCAAACTTTATATTGCTGACATTCATGAAAAGACAAGGCACATAAGCTTATTAAGGTTCTACAACTCATTTGGTAAATAGAGCAAAACTCCTTGAAAGGAGTAAAGTAAGCTCCCAGGAATTGGCTGCAATAGGGTTAAGGATTTCTCCTACACACAATCTGCCCACCTAAAGTTTTGTTTCTACAATACCTACTGGATGTTCTTACTGTCTGCAGCAATTATCTCTATTAGCTAATTTTAGAGATCAAACTCAAAATGAACAGTTGGCAAATTTCATGATAGATAGAAATCACTCAGGTTATTCATAGATGAATGTTTAAAAAGAAAGTGATCATTTCGATTTTGCATAACACTGAAATGTAACAATAACTAGACTGCAATTTTAAAAACCATGCATCAGAAGATTTTCTATTACGTTCCAATATTAAACAAATATTTACGAGGACAGGATTGTTACACGATATAACACACCATAGTGCATTAGCCCACACATGAGGTTGAATGGTATCTCAAAGACCACTATGCGAAATGGTAGAGTGGCAATGGTCTAGTGGTATTATTTAGGGGCAGCACAGTGGCTCAGTGGTTAGCACTGCTGCCTCACAGCTCCAGGGACCCAGGTTCAATTCCACCCTTGGGCAACTGTTTACATGGAGTTTGTATATACTCCCTGTGTCTGCGTGGGTTTCCTCCAGGTGCTCTGGTTTCCTCCCACAGTCCAAAAATGTGCAGGGTAAGTGGATTGGCCATGCTAAATTGCCCATAGTGCCCAGGGATGTTTAGGTTAGGTGGGTTAGACATGGGAAATCAGGGGTAGGGGAATGAGTCTGGATGGGATGCTCTGCGGAGGGGCAGTGTGGACTTGTTGGGCCGAATAGCCTGTTTCCACATTAGAGGGATTCTATGAATTCTATGACCACCAGATCCACATGAAAAAAAAAACAAAACAGTCTTGCCCATTACTGCTAGATAACAGACATGCATTTTCAATTCCTGATGTGAACAAAAGAAAGAAAGTTCAGATGTCATTGCAAACTGTTTGCCCATTACATGGTTAAAGAAAATATTACTGGTTTGACCTTAACTAATTTTCCAATCAGTTGCTTTTGAAGCAATTTGGGAAAAAGCCATAGTTATAACCAGAGGAAAGGCAAGAACATAAAAACTTAGAGCAGGAGTAGGCAATTTAGCCTTTCAAGCTTGTGCTGCAATTTAATATGATCATGCTGATCTCAGATACAGCCAACAGTGATCATGAGGAGTAGATCTCAGGCTTTGGGGTTAATGGTGGGGGTGGACAGAGGAAGACCAAAGTTGTTAATTATATGGCTGTGTTAGTTATTTGCCAACTCCAAAATATTCATTTATTTGTGGTTTAGGGTCACACAGTGCTGTTATTCATTCTCATTTCCTCGAAGGAAGCAAATGTTAAAAATCTCTTGAAACATTTTGTAAATATTCTTATATTTACATCAACCTGAGAACTTCATTCTGTTTCTCTCCTGCTGAATGTTTCCAATACTTCCTTTTTACTTACTTACTTTCAGCAGGTCTGTTTTACACCTATCACATAATAAAAAAAAACTTTAAAAAAAACACATTTTGTAGCCTAAGAAGTCAACTTAATACTTGTCAACTTAATATTTGTGAATTTCACAAATGATAAGGCACTAGCACTGATACTTGTTGTTTGCCACTGCACATCAGCCTCCACATTCTTTCTCAGTCTTCTACCACCATCCTCCCTCTCTCCTGCCACTAAGCAGATTTTGGATCCACCTTGACAAGTTTCCCTGGATCCGTTGAGCTTCTACCTTCTTTATTGGTTTTGTGCATGGGACCTTTTTGTCAAAGGCCTTGCTGAAATCCATACAAACTACATCAACTCCCCTACCCTCCTCCAAACACTTGGTCATCACCTCAAAACTCCAAGCAGGAGATATGCAGGAAGGTTCTCCAACTACTGGGAATAGAATCCAAAAGGTTGTCAGAAGAGGCAGGAATTTGGACAAGAGCTGGATGTTATCACAGACCTAAGGGATCAGACCCCAGTTTGGGGTTAAAACTTGGTTGATGTGGACACGAGAACTGGAAACCATTCTAACATAGGGAGTGCTGGGGAAGAGGAAACCTATTTCATTGTCTGGAGCTGCATTTCTTACTCCTCCTAGAGCCCTTAGTAGATCTCATTGTGGAAACTAAAGTTCCACTTTTCTAAAAATAATTTATTCATGCAAGTGAATGTTGTTGGCAAAATGGGCATTTATTGCCTATCTCAACTTGCCTGCAAGAAGTTAAAGGTAAGTCACCTTCTTGAAATGCTGCTCTGTGTGGTGTAGATATGCTCACAGTACTGGTTGACCCAGCAACAGTGAAAAACCATTACCTAAACCCACATCATGATAGTGTGCAACATAGCAAGAAACTTTCGCGCAGTGTTCCCATGCATCTACTACTCTTGATCTGATTGATGGTAGATATTGTAGGTTTGGAAGGTGCAGAAGAAGGTATGGTAGATTTTTGTATCTCCTGCAAGTTGTACTGCAAAGTGCAGCCACAGTGTGTCTGTGATGAAGGGAGTGAAATGTCAAAGGTGGCAGATGGAGCGCCAATCAAGCGACTTGCTTGATGGTGTCAAGCATCTGGAGTGCTCTCAGCGTTGCACTCATCCAAGCAAATGAAGAACATCCCATCATATTTTTGCACTTGCACCTTGTAGGTGGACACACTTTTGGGAGAGTCTGGAACAGAGAAGTTCATGCAGAATTCCTAGTTTTATTTAACTATTGTAGTAAATATTGACCAGGGAATTGCACACCAGTGTAACTATCATTAGTGGTCAGGAAACTATTGGAGAAAAAAAGAGTGAGGGAGGAACTTAAATCAACATTTAGACAGGCAAGGTTTGATCAGAGATGGTCAGCATGGCTTTATCAGTGACAGGTCACATCTAACAAATCTAGTAGAATTTTTTGAGGTGATGACCAAGTGTTTGGAGGAGGGTAGGGGAGTTGATGTAGTTTGTATGGATTTCAGCAAGGCCTTTGACAAAAAGGTCCCATGCACAAAACCAATAAAGAAGGTAGAAGCTCAACGGATCCAGGGAAACTTGTCAAGGTGGATCCAAAATCTGCTTAGTGGCAGGAGACTGAGAAAGAATGTGGAGGCTGATGTGCAGTGGCAAACAACAGGTATCAGTGCTAGTGCCTTATCATTTGTGAAATTCACAAATGATGTAGATGAGAATATCAGGGGGATGATAAGTCTGTGGATTACTAAAACTGGCCAGGTGACTGACAGTGAAAAGGAAGGTGTTAGGTTACAGGGGAGGACAAACAGATTGATCTGATGGGCAAATCAGTGGCAGATGGAGGTGAACCTGATAAATGTAAGGTGATGCACTTCGGCAGAGAGAGGAAAACAATAGAGTACTCAATGAATATAAAGACTCTAGGAAGCTCAGAGGGATCTTGAGGTGCTTGTCCATGGATTCCTGAAGGTGACAGGACTCACTAGCAGAGTAATTAAGGCAGCTTGCAGGATGCTTGCCTTCAGTCATGGCACAGGTTAGAAGAGCAGGAAAGTCGTGTCGGAACAGTACACAAAAACTTTGGTTAGGGTACAGTTGGAATGCAGGGTGCAGTTCTTGTCACCACACTACAGAAGGAACGTGATTGCACTGGAGGGGACGCAAAGGAGACTCACCAGGAAAATGCCCGGAATGGAGGATTTTAGGTATGAGCAGAGAATAGATAAGTTTGGATTGTTTTCTTTGGAGCACGGAAAGTTGAGGGGAGACCTGACTGAGCTGTACAAAAGATTAAGAGGGGCTGGGCAAGGTGAATAGAAAGCTGCTGCTCTCCTCAGTCAAAGGATCAATAACAAGCATAATTTTAAAAGTGAAAGGCAGGAGGTTGAATGAGGATTTTTTTTTCCCCCCCACCCAGAAGTTGGGGTTTGTCTGGAATGCATTGACTGGATTGAGGCAGGAAACCTCAACTTCTTAAAAAAAAACGATAATTGGCTAAGCACTTGAAGTGTCATAACATTCCTGCACTAGGTCCATAGCCTTGAAAGTGGAACTACTGTAGGTAATAGTATTCTTTTCAGGGTACAGACTTGATGGGCCAAAGGGGCTCTTCTCAACTGTATGATTCTATGATTTATACAGTTGAAGTTACATTTCTGGTCAGTGCTGATTCCCAGGACGTTGATGCTAGAGGGAATCAGCAAAGATAATGCTTTTGAATGCTAGGGGGAAGTGATCAAGCCATTAGAAACAAGAACAGACCATGCAGCCAATCTAGCCTGCTCCTGCATCAAATTATCAGCCTTAACTCCACTTCTCTTTTCCCTTAATTCCCTGCAAAGCTAAAAATCTCTCAACTTTAATAATATTCAAATAGTGGAGCATCCACAAGCCTGTGTGGTAGAGAATTCCAAAGATTCACAACCCTTTGGAGTGAAAAATTTCTCTTCAACTCAGAACTAAACAATTCTTCCCTATCCCAAGATTGCGTTCTTCCTGTTCTAGATTCCCCGGACAGGAGAACCGACCACTGTGTCTAAACAGTCAAACCCCTTCAGAATCTGGAATGTTTCAATGATATCACCTCACACATTCTTCTAAACCCCAGAAAAATACATTCATTCGGCTCACTCCACCTGTTTTGGATAATGATCCCCCAGGATGAGTGCAATCTCATGAACCTTTATGAACTGCCTCCAATGCAAATAGTTCCTTTCCTAAATAGGAGACAAAACTTCCAGGAAGTATCCCATGTGTGATCTCTTCAAAAATGTACAATTGTAGGAAGGAATAAAGAAGTCTGTGATCCAAATCCTCTGCAATAAAAGGCCAACATGTCATTTTCCCCCGCTAATTGCTTACTCCACCCACGTGTTAACCTTGTATTTTTTGGAGTACATCCAAGTGTCTCTAAACACCAACACATC